AAACATATATTATTTTGGTGATTAATATCATAATTGAGGTTTCCCTCTCCATTGGTTCTTGATTGAACTTTCGAACTTATCAAATATTTTCAATATTTGTGGCGTTCAAAATCTTAGAACTTATCAAAGGATTAGGCACTATTTGTGGCGTTCGCAAATCGAGGTTCTCATTTCCGCATATCAATGGATCTAAGGTTTAATATACCTTAGATTCTTGATTCGTGAGGCTCAGGTCAAGATTCTATCGTCTACAACCTGAATTTGGGCTTTCCCGGCATTTTCGACTAATTCCGCGAGTTCCACGCAATTCCCGTTCCCTGGATCACGTCAATTTCCCTATCAAGATACAATAGCAATAGTTTAGACAATGTGGCCATCATTTCTCTCTTCCAAGAAGATGAAGACAACAGACCAGCTATTTCCGACAACATCAGCATAGTTTAATCATTTTCTTGGAATGTCCAGATTAAAATTCTTGTTGGATGGGGATATAAATTCACTGTATGTGGGTTTAATCATTGTTTTCTTACTAATTTAATCATCTTGAATTATTGTTTCAATCACCGCCCATTGTTAATGCCAAAATGTCCAGATTACAGTACAGTTTAATCATCTTGTGTAACCTTCTAACAGATAGGTAAATGTGGGTTATATCTTAAGATGTAAATAAAATTGGTTGGTCGTCATCCGAAGATTGAACTATTTGGATTCTTTTGTTAGTAATATATCTAAGAAAAATCGAAAGAACAACAATTTCTTTGATAATGGCCTAGCACAGAAACTAATATTATCATTTACTACTATGAGGAAGAAAAGTGCCAAATGCATATGATGTTGTCTTCAACAGTCTGAATTTCTACAATCAATTTCTGGTTGAACTTTGCAATTTTAGTTATTTCTTGCATTTGATAATTCTTTTGTTTCAATCATTTGTGTTGTGTATATATAGTTGTAGATTGGCACAAGTATTTACCCCCTTCATATCATGGATTTCCTTAGTATTTGTTTGTGTCTTGCTGAAGTTTATTAGTTACTATATGATCATAATTACTCGAATGCCATCGTCGAGGTGACTTTATTTTAGTGCTTTGTGAAACTTACTCACTATCAAGTTCTACATTGCTTTACATACTGCTCAATATTACAGCATTGATTGTATGTCTAAAATGATTTACTTCATAATATCCTGCTAAGAGATAATATTTTGAATTGATTACTCTGAAAAGCTTACTGATTATATGCATTTTGAATCTCTTCGTGGCCCAAAGAGATAATTTTCAAATCTACCAGTCAAGCAGAAGCAGAAGCAGATTTTGAAGAACTAGAATGAAATCATTCTAATTTAGTTTTATTTATTGCATTTTCGTTATCATTAAAAATCTCTTTTGTTCTAGAATCGACTCTTTTTGTTTGTTGACTTCATATTCATAATCAGCAGAAATTTCCCACAAATTGTATTAATAAAAACGTTCATTCTTGATTTGATTGGGTATGGATTTTATCGACAACTCAGAAGTCACATTTCTTGTATTTTACTATAGGTACAGTTTTTTTAATATATTAATTTGTTGGTACTTACGTTGAACAATAATTCGTTATATCCTTCTTTTTTTTTTTTTGCGCACGGATAAATTGATGATCTCTATGTGGTGAAAGTGTTTGATAAAGTCGCCAATTAGGAGCGAAGATAGGGAGACAGTCCTTGGCTTTAGTCGAGGACAACTCAAGCCAGGTTAGTTTTTCTTCTATATGGTGATTCAGCTTAATTTTTTTTCCCCTCTAATTCCGTCCCCCTTCGCCAACCACCAACTTTTTTTTTTTTTTTGTTGACATAGAAACCCGCAACTGTTACCCGTCAGTGGAGCCCTGACCATCCCGAAGGGGCAGATGTCCGACCACTGTGAGTGCGTACTAGATAAACCCCGCTCCATATACAGTAACCTCGCAAACGACACGGGAGAGGTAAACCGCACTAGGGAAGCCCAGTGCGACGGGCTAGACCGATGAAATATTAGCAAGGGATTCGAACTCGTGACCTTTGGTCTTCGTATTTACCTACTCCACTAACTCGGTCATCCCCGAAGTGGTCGCCAACCACCAACTTTTTCCACAGTAAAGTTGGTGGAAGCTTTAGTTGCATAAATAAAATGTCATTCTCTAAAGTTGTCCATGTTCAAGTGGTCCACTAATTATTCTATCTATGAAAGTTACTATAAAATTGGAATTCTTCTGCAATTTCCACACTGCGAAGTTTCGATGTATTTTCTTAATCTATTTGTCTTACGGAATCTTTTGACTTTATTAATGTTAGGTATTTAAAACTCAGAAGTTATCCAAATCAACACATTCCTATCCGTTGCTCAATTGTATTGGTGACAATAAAAGGCAGGAAAAAATTCACTTATTTTGGCGTCGAGTTGATTAAGTCTTGTTTGTTCAACTAATTTGTAAACAATGTTGATTAAGTTTACAAGTTTTTAAAAACTTATAAGTTAGTTTTCATTATTATAAAATATAATTAATCTCTCTATGGAGAAAAGTTTGAATTTTACTTGGGGTCTGTCTGGGCCTGCTTTTTGAAGTGAAAAATTGATTTCATAGCCGTTACGTGTAAAATCAAGTTGTCTTTTTTGACCAGCCTTCTTCGAGGTGGGGTCTACCTTGGCAAAATTTGATCTAATATTGGTCTGATCATTCAATTCTGAGAAGTCTAGTTATTTAATTTCTAATGGGTAAATTATTTGGGACATCTTCCACCTTTGAATTTATTGGCTCTTTAGTCTCCAATCTTTTCTTCTGGACGACGAAGGGTTTTCAACTTTTTTCAAAATAAGCGATTTGAGTTACTTGTACATTCAAATATTCAAAAGGGGCAAAATTTTCATTCCATAATTTATATAAAATATTTTTAAGCTGAATTTATCCATTTGGATGAATGGTGCCTATTTTAAAAAGATTGGGAACTTTTTCGTCGAAGACGAAAATATAAATGAATTCAAAGATTGAGACCCATTTCCAATTGAACGGATTGGTGAGATATCTTATTCCAGCATTCGGTATACTTTGTTATCAATATAAAGCATATCGCTGTCGCATCACCATCGTCTTCCCCACCTTGGCCAACTTAGATATTTTCAAAGCATTTTCATTGGATAACGTAACAAAAATATCTTTGTATTTTAAATCTTAATCCATTATTGAATTGACTTTTTATTTGTTGACTTTAAAATTATCACCTCACTCAACTTGGCTAATAATTGTACAATTAATTATTCTTGGTGTAGTTCTCACATAACCCCACATAACACTGGAAAGTGGGTAATTTTTTTATCTTTTTTATTGAGATGAGTCCGGTGTGAGACTCATCCTTTGTGAGTGCTTCGGGGGTTATGTGACAACCCCTATACACGAAGAATAATTTATTGTACAATAAAATTGTTAGATAGTTCTATGGATCCACATAATATCTACTCAGTGGATATTAAAAGAGTGTCACCTTCTCATTTAATTTTGTTTAAAAAAAAGTATAAAGAAAAAAATAAGTTATTATATTACTTCATTGAATCAATCTCATTGGTATGTTATCAATCACAAAGATGCATCGGTCGCTGAAAGAAGACGTTGGTTGCAACGACAAAATCTTATTTTTCTTTATTTATTTTTGTTTTACCACCTGGTAGGGCCCCCCACTGTTGTGAGGGCCCGATGACACCCCCGGTACAATTATCATTTCCGTAACTAATAATTCAAATGGAATTATTGATAGCTATGTAATCATCGATTCACCTCTCTCATCAATGATTATTGGTGATGTCAATATCACTTACTGTATTTTGGTCATTTACGAAAATCGTCGATAGCATCAACAAAATTTTATATTTTTCAATATTTATATCTTTTATAAGTTATTGACAATTAGGTTTAATAATTTTACCAGCTCAAATTGAAAGTAACAATAAAAACTATAAAACAAAGTAAATTATAATACAGTCACTATCCCAAGTCCTCAATTCATCTATATCTAT